TTGTGATAACATCACAAAATATTATTAAAATAAATAAAAATCAAGACTGTGACCGAAAAATTACTTATAGTAATAATTTTGGCTATTTAACGTCATTTGGACATCATTATGATTTTTTGGTTTGTTTGGATAATTATTTTAATAGTTTAACAAAATTATTTCTAGATCTTTAGCCAGCTAAACTTTTAGATGCTTTAGCAAAAAATCATTCTTTTCTTGTAAAAATAAATATTGCAGAAATAAGATATTAGTAATTACATAGTTTAGCGATAGTCTAAAACTATTTTTTGTCAATCGTCCATCGATAAAATTTTCGAAGCGAGAAACAAAAGGAAGGATAAGCGCGGCCTCGCAGTACTTTCGAGAACCGATTTCTAGTCCTACGTAATTGCACGTTTAAACAACAATCTCCTGCTGAGAAACCAATTGAAACGATAACAAAATTACATTGTCACGGCAAATGGGAGTATCCCGCGTCAGCCTGTACTGGCAACTTTGCATCAAAACTTTCTACCGCTGCGCAAGAGTAACCCTGTTAGATTGACGAACATTGGCCCCGAGGGGTCGCAAACTATAGACGTCGCGGTAATTGAAGGGTTCACTGCGGGAGAGAGATAAGTCCGTTTTGATACATTTTTTTTACCAAGACGATATAAAAAGAGTCTGGAAATCTTCTTGCACTAAACATTACGCACCGGTGAATCGAAATTGCTTATTACAATTTTTAATATAATATATAACATATTAATTTTTGCAATTTTTTTTTGTATTTGTTTGTTCGCGGTAATAAAGATAATAAATACAAAGACGGTACTCTTGAGAAATGAAAATATTATAACATTGAGAAATTTCGTAAATATTTATAAAATTAAAAAATTTCTCTATGTAAAAATTCACTTAAAATTAAATGGTTGATGATATTTTAGCGATTTATTTTACGAAAATTTATAATTCAATTTGTTTAAACTTTTGTTCTCTTAATCGTTTTTATAGTTCTAAAATTATACTATCTCTCTCTCTCCATCTAATATTATAATCTTTTTAATAAAATTATTTTAATTCTCTCGCGCTATACGAGTACATTTATTTTAAATACATTCATTTTGAAACTTTTATAATTATCACGAAAAGAACAATTTTGTTGAAGTATCTAAAAATTTAGCTATATATGAGATTTGAATTCGAAAATAATTTTGTTAGTCTATCAAAATTGTTAGGTAAGATACTCAAAACGTAATGAACAATTCTGTAAAAAGTTTAGACATTTTAGCAACAAAGCTCGAGCATTTTATATAATTATTATATTTTGATGGTCTAACAAAATTTGTTTTCAGATTTATATTTAGTTTATTTGGATAGAGTACTTTAGCAAAAGTTCTTTCTGTACTTATGTACATATTTACTTCTATGCTTACGAGGGAAAGATTTGCTGTTGTAAATCAAGAATTTAGCGCGGTGTTGCACGAAACTTTTCAATTATTACCCTCGCTCGGCCGTGATCTGTTTCCATCATTGGATCACGTACGCACTTGTAAATTATTTCACTCGGCAGGAAGATTATTGATTCTTTTACATCATCAAGAATGAAAGTATCAATTGCGAAAAAAGCAGGAGTGCACGCTCTTCAACGGATGAAGCGAGCGACAGAGGAGAGAAAGGCGAAATACAGGGACATGAACGATTGCGCGATACAAATTCATGTGAGAGAGAGAGAGCGAGGCGTGATATCTGTTGTTCGATACGTGCTCTCGTTAAAAACAGGGAAGTTATCTACTCCCTCACACGGTAAGCTGCTGCGCAATTAATCCCAAGGTTGGAGCGCGAGTAAATCGCGGTTGGCTTTTTTTTTTTACGCGTGCTGTAATTTACCGCGTAAAGAGATACTGCGGAAAGAGATACATAAAATAAAGGGGTGAGGGGAGGGGGGGGGGAGAGGCGTGTTTTTACTAAGAAATTAAATTGCGCTCGTATTTCGCACGGAGGTGCGCCGAATCCGTGGTTCATGAAATCTCTCCTCTTTCGTTCCTCGTTCTTTTTTTTTTTTTTTTTACGTGGGCGTGCGCGCGGCCAGTAAATGCAATAAACTGGCTGGCGGGAAGAGAAGTCACGTATTTATTTGTATACCGCATGACGAATGCTGCTAATCTAACTGCGGAACACACGGCCGGGTTTTTCGCGGGTGAAATTCTCGGGGAAATCACTTTATCGTGCTGCGTTTTTCCGATGGAGGAAATCGTGGAAACGTCACGACCTATCTTTCAATTATACGAGCGAATGCCCGCGCGTAATCGGACAGAAACGTAATTTCAATAGTAATTCTAATCCCTAATGCAGCGACGATTCCGATTTTCCCGCGTGTAATTTAGTAATAAACAGCATTGCGGATGGACGATTTCGGAATTTCGTATATACGGCAGTTTTGGGTACTGACACTTTTAGTTATTCGTGTATAAGTTTGTTAAGGAGATTGGCGTTCAATTTCGCGCGGGTAATTTCCAATAATTCCGTTTTCATCGAAAACAGAGTGACTAATGCTGTTTGTGATGTTACCGGTAAATTTACGGCTTACGTGTGCCCGCTCAATTAACTATCTTGGCGCGCGAAACGGAAATGAGAGTCGCGTATTACGTCCGTATGCAAGATTGAACGAGTTAGTTCAAGACGGGGGAGTAAAGTGCGCGTGACACCCGAAACTGATACGCACGTGTAATTTTGTCTCTTCGTGAGGGCTGCCGCATTGTTATAAAATATATAAAAATCACATAATTTACAGTAGGAATATATTTAAAACTGGACATTTTTATAAAAATTAATTTACAGGAAGAATCGTTTTGCTGAATTATATATCATAAATATTGAGATATAGATCTGAAAATAATTTTATTTGAGTCATTCAAAATAATTTTGTAAGACGCTCAAGCTGATTGCTAGAATATCTAAACTTCTTTTACAATACTGCTCATCATGCACCTGAGTTTCCTATATAATTATTTTGATGAACCAACAAAATTATTTTCAAATCTATGTCTAATTAAAATTTTTAATTAATTTTTTTATGTTTATTTTAAGCAAAGGTACAATAATTTAAAGTATATACTGGATCTGCGAATACCAATTAAGGAAATTTAGAAGCGAATATCTAATTAGAGTTAAGAGAAAAACTGTACGTAATTCCTCAGCGAATTATTACATAAATACTATCAATTTAATTGTAAATTTATCTTTGCAAATTATTTAATTACAAAGAAGAGTAATTTTATTTGTAACTCTACGTACATAATAAAATATTATTATACATTTGATAGTGGGTCTTAAAAATATCTATTATAATTTTACGTGAAAATTTTTATAATGCGTTCGGGGCTCCAAGAACGTTGAATTTTCAATTGCGCATAATATACGCGCATAAATCTAAAGTTATTTGGTCTAGTAGAATTTCGCGGAGCGAAGTAGCATTTGCAGTAAATGTTATAAGTTTCTACTTTTGTTAATAACACTGGACGGGGTCGCGCGATTTGTGTAAATCGTGTGAGCGAGAAGCGATCGATAGTTGCAACGACTTTCGCGACCGGTGAATTTATTCCGCAGAGCGTAACAATCGTGCGTCATTTGATACGAAAGCGTGGCGTTATCAATTAAACGCAATCGGCCGTACGGTAATTCATTCGTTTCGCAAATATAAATTCGTCTCTCTGAGAGAGAAAGAGAGAGAGAGAGAGAGAGAGAGAGAGAGCACGCGCGGTATGCACCGAAAAAAGAGAGGACGTCACAGATTATAGTCGCTCTCGTGATAACATTGGGCCGAATTCTTCCGCGGACTCTTTTCTGACGAAAATAAAAATCGGAGTATAAGTCGAATGTAAGGGAAGAATGACGGAAGCATAAACATAGCTTCTGGGTGACGTAAATTGGGAGAACGAAAAATAAAAGCGGCATCTCTACCTCTTAAAATACTTCTTTTACGTTGCACTGTCCCAATTTGCACTTCCTAGCTTCGCGTCTGTCACTCTCTTACATTCAATTTACGCGCCGAATTTTATTTTCGCCAGAGTTTTCTCAGTTTCCGCGAATGTCTCCTAGGAGAGAAACATGCGGCTCTTAATTTTTAATTAACCGCTCCGCCGCCGTCTCTCGAACGTGCGCAACGCGCATAACTCTGCCGCGCGTTACCGAGCTAATTGAACGGTCCTCCGGGCGCCCTCCTAAGCGCGACTGGAAAGTTTAGAAGGAAATTTATTAGCGCATTCCACACTTCGGAACTAAGTAACGCTCTTATTACTCGCAGTCTCCTTCATATTATGCTTATACCGATCAGATGTATATCTTTAGAGACGTGCGCGCGCGTGCGCGCGACTTCCCCTTTCTGTCTCGTCGCCGTGTACTTGTCTGCGAATATGGATTTATGGTGAGCGGATTTATAGCATGGCTTTTTCCCCTTATAATAAGCTGACGGGCTTTGTTGTAACCAACCGGCTAACGAGACCGACATTGATGAATGAACGCGCGACTTGACTCAGGTCGTGTCAAACCGCGAGTATGCTACTGATTACGAAGCTGCGGATTTGTTCGAGGCGTTGATCTTTCCGCACTTCAATTTTATGTTTCCGCTGTGGCTTATGTATCCTGATGTATGCTGCGTCGGCGTTAATCATATTTCGGTAACTAGCTCGATGTTTTAAACAAATTATTAGGTATATAGAAATTTTTGAAAAAACGGAAGAACATATAATTTTTTTTAAACAAAAAATTTGAAACAAAATTAATAATATATTTTTCTATATATATTTTTTTCTGTAAGATGAGTGTATATATGTGTACATCACGAGATTTTTGTAAAATAGCAAAATATAAAATAAGAATAGCAAAAATGTATTTAAATGCTCGCTGAAATAAATTTTGTTTGTGTAAAGTATAAAGTAGCGAATTGGTGAATGAAATTAAACGTAACTGTAAAGAGAAGAGAAGACCGTTAACTGGTTAAAAGCTTCAACTTGCTTCAGGGTTGGACGAGCAACTCGACGATCGACAGACTATACAAGAGGAACACGGACCCTCCGGCTGTTGTGGACGTGAATAAATTCTACGATGACAGGGCGACACCAGGTAAATAGCAGAGGTTGCCGCATGCTTCTCGCTGCTACCGGAGCTTGAATCTCGTCTCCGTGTCGGTCTTTTGCTCCAATAGGTATCGCTTTGGAAACACAAATGCAAGACCCGAGGAATCTCTACAAGGAAGAGGTTCAGGTGTATGAACTTACGGGTGGTGTCGAATTGGTACCTTTATTAACCAGCAGGCGCCATCAGTCGTATCCGCAGTCCAGCCGATATCTCGCCACGGATGCCACTCGTCCGGGATACACGATAGAATCGTAAGTAGGCTATAGACTGGTGACTGTATTCGAAATTGGTTTGTTTGTCTCCAAAATGATCAATTCGTCGCTCTATGAATACAAAATAGTTCGTTGCTTTGGCTCCGAGTTTCTAAACAAAACGACAAATTCCATATCTCATAGTCAATTCTATTTTACACAAATTGTTGAAATATGATTCTGTTTTATGTAATTGTTTAAATATAATTCTTTATATTAATTGAAGGCGACAGATGCAGAGATGGTAGACTAATCAATAAACAGCATGCCTGATATAAACACGTAACTGGCTGTAATCACGTTTGGTCATTAACGTAATTGGTATTAAAAGTCCTTATTGTTGTCCCGCAATTTACTTAATGAAAATTTTATTGATCACTCATTCAATCAAAAAAGATGCATTTGATATTTCGAATCCCTTCGACGGAAAGATAATGAATGCCAGAACATATTGTTGAAAAAGAAAAAAGATTCTCTAAATAAATCTATAATAAATCAAACACACACATCCTATCATTATATATATCGTTTCTATATTTCCAAAGTGACACAATTCAAAACATTACTTTTTTCAAAAGAGGATAAAAATTCTTTATTTAATAGATAATTATTGAAGAATTAAATAATATTGGTATATAAAAAGAATATATTTTTAACGAGATCAAATGCTATTTTTGTTTCGTTACAATTCTTAAAAATCACCCTCTTATAACAATTTTGACGACTTTTTTTTGTAAAACTACCCATCTTAAGTTGTGATGATCTCAATGACTTTTTTAAAATTAAGTTAGTACACTTTTAATGATTAATAAGGCAATTTAATTCATTCATGATTAATCACCTTTTTTAAATTGTGTCACTTTTGAAGTAAAGGAGCGACATATCGATTTTAGTTTTCTACTTTATATTTCGAAACATAACATCAATTTATATCTACATAACGTTCTCCCGAATATTTCCTCCGTTTTTTTAGTCTTCTTTTTTTTTTAATTCTTGATGTGTTATCTCTTTTTTTATGATAATTTATCAATCTGACGTGGAAGTCCGAGACGCCTTCATGTAAAGCGTGAAATGAAAAACGAGAAAAGTAGAACAACGTGCGCGTTTATAAGCATTTTGTCGCATAGTAAATGTCAATATCTCGGTCATATCGTATATATAATGCCACGTTCATTTACAATGAATTTTTCATTCGGTGCTTCATAAGTATGACAAATACGACAAGACACGACGGTAATCGGAGAATTGGTTAGCGGCGATACGGCACTCGAGGGATGTAAATACATTACGGGTAATCAACCAATTGACCCGGATGCACTCGACCTCGACCATTTCACCTGTTCCTGCTCAATCTCACCCTCATTTTCCTCCCCGTGCACTCCAAATATTCATCAGCATAATTTTCCATCCCTATCGTAATAGAATATTTTTCTACGAAGAATTTACTTCTTAGGGGAAGAGTCGATTCTCTTTGGAAGTACTCAATTGAAAGACTTTATGTAAGCTTTCTGCATAAATATATCATTATATTGAAACATTTCATGCACACAAATGTAGTCTTGTTTTAAAATTTTTCGAGAAAAATTCGGAACGTGTATTTTTTGTTCCTTACGGAATTATATTATGTACGTATATACTAAAAAAATCTGAATTAGAGATATAAGTATACAATGAAATTATATCTGAATGTGTCTGCGTAATCTTGAATTCAATTATAGGTCACTGTATTCGTCTTAAAATGTTTTCTCAGAATGTAAATAATAAAATATACCATTCCATTTAAAAAAATCAGATTTGATCTATGCTCTCTCTTTACGCTTCTACCTACAAAAAAATTATTGACATTACATTATGTGTCTCTCGAAACCAAGCAATTTTTGTTTGGCACTTTTCCTTTTATTGTTAAAAACAAGCGAGTTATTCAGATGACTTGTTTTAGATGCTTCACCTTGTATATAAATTGATATATTTTTTACATTATAGTGCAATTACGATACTTTAAATTGAATATATGATATACTGAAGTATATTATATATTAAATTTAAATGTATTATACATATACTGAAGAAAAAGAAAAAAAAGAGTGATTAACACGACTGTGTATGTAATAGTTCCATCATAAATATATTTAACGTTTACAGTTCTGTATTCAGTTGATTGAGTAATTAATGTAACTCTTCTCTGGCATTGCATCCGATAATACTGATTTATCGTTCGATAAATCTGCGTGTAAACGGTCGTAGCACCAGACGAGAACAGAAGCAGCACCGACCTGACATGTAACGGGACACTTTGATAACGTTTAATGAAATAGCATATGAGAGAAAGTTACGTTACCGGAGGTGTGCAATGTTGTTTATAACACAGTGAGCCGACATTCAAACGCTGCGGCACGCCTGTAGTAATTAATCACCCTCGATTATCTGTCACCGTGCGGCGATAATCCGGAGAAAAAAAGAGTGCAGCGGCATAAGCTCGGGGCGTTACTCACTTTAAAAAGGCATTTTATCGTATTTTTATTTATTCACCTGTTTTTGACGGTAGAATCACGAGAGGGCACCTCGGTACTGCGGGCACAAGTATTTAATTTGGTGACACACACTGCACGGGGATCGATATCGCGTTCGATTTGTTCGCACGCGTTCCCGAATATCGCTATGCGAGGTATTCGCGCGAGTTATGAGCGCGAAGTCGTTAAAGACTATTCAAAGCATCGAGAAAATATCGATGACTGGAACCGTTCAAACGGAAAGCTTTTTTCGCACCAGTCGGTTTAATTTAACGTATGATTCCAAAATAAATGAAAGATAGATCGTATAGGTTGCATCGTCAGCAATATTTATAGTTCATGATGATACAGGTGACACCATTTATAACCATTTACGCTATTTTTAAATTATCTTAGGAAAGAATGCAGAAGCAGAAAAATTCTTTTTTAAGAAAGTAAAAAGTTTACATAAATAAATTGATTATAATAGAGTTTGTATGATATTTTTGAAGTTAATATTTAACAATTGTAGCTTTTATTTAAAAGTATTGTGACCGATTTTGTACATATATATATGTCTATCTGTGGTAGCGTCTTTTTATAGTTTCCTTATGCAGATATATATATATATAGTATATAAGATCTACGGTTTCGAATATATGTATATATATATTATATGTATGTATACTGTTAAATTCATATAAATGTCAAAAATTATATCTAAATTGAGTTATTTTCAATATATATATGTTGCTACTGCTCCTATCTAATGTGTCGTTAATTTGATTAAAACGATTTAACTTAAGGATTAATTATTAAACTTGACTCAAAACTAATTTATTATTTACTAAGTGCATACATTAATATAGATAATGTTTACTTTGAAATTAATCACAGAAGTGGATTGATTTATATTATGACATAGATGGGAGTTGAATATCAAAATATGCTTTTTTAACCTAATTGGATTGGGTTACCATTGCTCTTTTGATATCTAACATGCAGTGAAACAACCTGTTGGTACAGTTAACGTAATTAAAAATTGTATTTGGCCAAAATATCATTCTGATTAGACCTTTTTGGTGTGATGAGAGCAGTTTTCTGTGTTCTTTCTCTATGTGTGTGTGTGTTACCACCTATTCTCTTTTTGTTAAATTTGCTAAATGTTACTTTTCTTCGCCCTGTTTGCTACAACAGTATTTCCTATTCTTAAGTAAATCGAATACTTAATTTTCACACACATTCCACACATTCGTACCCGAATTTTTCCGTGAATCTCGTTCGTATTCCATTTTCACGTTCTGGACGCGATATTAAATATTTTACTCAAGGAAGCTCAATGTGTGTGACTCGCCCTAGATAATGCTATTCCTCTCAAACCTTTATTTCCCATAATCCGCGTCTCGGCGCATATGCTCCCATCATTTCCGCAGGGGTGCCGTACTTATCAAAGAAAGGATATGAAAGCTGAGTGTGACAGACGTCTCTCCCTTTCTTTTACAGGCTTCGCGCGCTTGGCGTCGGTAATCGTGAGTACGTTGCGGATCTCGCTGAGCAAATACGACGTAAGCGGGACAGAGCGTTGGTAAGTGCCATATGATCGATGACGATTGCGCGACGTTGAACGGTAATTTGAATCAGAATTAATTGTACTGATCTCTCGCCAATCTCGTTGCCGTCTGTTATATTGAATCATATTGATGCGCACTCACGTACCGATGTTGCGGATGATGAAATCAATAAAGCGGTCTATAAGGAAACTCGTTAAGTCTGGAAACACACACACACACACACACACAAACCGAAAATATAACTAGATTTAAATTGATTTAAAAATATTTCGCTTTAATATCCGATCTGAATTTTATCTTATTGATTATCCCGCTATTATTTTATATTATTCTATTATATAAATGAAAAAAAGATTTTCGTTATTTAAAAAGCATTTGATAATATAAACTGTGACCAATTTCCATGTAAATACTGCAATAAAGATTACATTTGTATTAATACTAAATATTATATTATTACATTGATATGAAAAATTAATAGTATTGTTCGTTTTGTCTCTCGGGAGTTGCTCGGAGTTGTTCTGAATAAACCCAGCGTACTTGGATGTGATCCATTTAATTCTGCAAATGCTTCGTTGATCAATCAAAAGAAAACAATTTTCGAATTGATCATTCAAAGAACGTTTCGAGGTATTTACAGCATTAAATAGACCACATCCAAGTACGCTAGGTTCGTTCAGAGCGACTCTGAGCAGCTCCCGAGAGACAAAACGAACAATACTAATATATCTTAATTGAGATGACGTTTTTCGCAATAAATTCTTTGTAGTATTTTAAGATGCTTAATATCATTATTTAATTTAATTTGTGATATTATTACAACTTCAGTTTACTGATTGTATTTCAAATTCGAGTAATCGATGCAGTTTATTTAAAGGAAAATTTTATTTAAGATTTGCATAGAAATATTATTAAGTGCAAAGATCGAGCCTTGACCATATTTGACGCTTTTTACATATTCATATTATTCACATCGTGGTCTAATTTAATTTATATATTAGAAGTGTAATTTAATTTTGAGGGTTTCGCAAAAGAGATGAAAATATTTTGAATAAGGTATTCATTATTTATATATTATCTTGTTTAAATAAATCAGTTTTTGAGAAAAAAAACCTTCACGACTGAATCCCACTTCTAATATCATGAAATTAATATAATTTCCATAGAAATCCAGAAGATAAAATATAAAAAATGTTTTAATAAAAAATGATGTTTTTAAAATTCTATTATACATCTTTTTTAGCAGTTTATCAATTCTGTAATGCACTGTACTTAAAACATCTATCTTATATCTGAAACGTATATATCCGTTTTTTTTTACTAGTTTCCAAAATGAGATATGTTAATATTGTATTTTGCAACTACTATATGTGACTAAGGTTTATATTATATGGAATATCTTTCTTTCTTTCAGTCTCTGTTTTTGTCTAAGGTTACAAATCATTCTGTACTTGGATCTCGTTTTAGGAAGAACGGCGGATCGAACACGAGAGTTGTCGCAGGCACTTCGATACTTGGAAAAGGCTATGGGGTAGACCGGGCCATGGTGCCCCCATAGATCACACGCAGCGGAACAATCTCTACAACATCCTCCATCGACCGGCTATCTATTGAATTTTCCCGTAAAGCGGTTCGCCTTCGAGCGAGCGTAAAAGCGGAGGTGACTCCGTCTTTCTGCAAAATGCCGCCTTTTATTATACGAAACGAATAAGGAGGAGGCTATTAGATATCAGCGAACTAACGGAAGATAGGTAGTATCGTTTCCACAGGGGATAGTAGATGGGCATAATACATAAATAACTCCTGGTTCTTTGAGCAGGATGATAGTGCGCGAAGACGATAGTGCATAATATAATCCCTCAATTAAATGTAGATTAAAATCTCTCTCTCTTATGTAAACCATTTATTATTTATTTTCAAACTCAATCAAATTTTGTAACGTACATAAAAAATTTAATTGGATATCGTGTTTGATTAGTCGGTTTTAATAAGAATTTTAAAGAAAATGATTTATATTATTTTCTAAATAAGCCGTTCACACGGTAATGCGTTGTAAAAATGTATTGGAAGAAAAGGTATTATAGATAGTTTGTATTTCATTGAAAATCTTTTTCAACGATAATATTCAATGTGTAATACGCTGCGTAATTAAAATCAAACGTGCGAGAAAAAAATCTAAACGTGAAAAAAAGTATTAGGTCTACAATTTAATTCTCTATATTCAATCGACTACAGCACTTATTCAAATTTGAATCTTTTTCTCGCCATACAGTCGTTTTGAAGCTTAAGCTTTAAAATAACATATAATAAGTGTCGATGTTAATCTAACCTTGAAAAATAATAGTGAAAACTGTCGTTCGAAAAGCAACATTTTAGGTTGCACTGCCTCTTTTTCGCATTCCAATTGAAGAAAAGAGACGCGAAAGCTCAAGAAATGATTTGCTCGGCTTTAGGCGAAAATTCTGTATCGTGCAGTACATGTAGGAAGTAGTTCCAAAGATTTCGTAATAGCGATTCCAATTTAGAGGATGAATAACGCCCAGGCCAACCGAAGAAAGTGGAAGATGAGGAATTGTAATAGCTTTTGGACGAAAATCCTTATCAAACACAGAGCTTGACGTAAGCCAACAAATCATTTCAAAATGTTTGGAAACTTGGTCGGATTCATAAAGAGGGTCGTTGAGTTCCACATGTGCTAACGCTTGAAACAAGGAAAGACGCCACGACACGGTTATCTGTCTGTAGTCCAGAAAAAAAGACTTTCTACACAAAATATTGATTTGTGATGAAAATGGATTCTATAATCCGAAGAGACGAAAATCTTGGATTTATCCAGGTCAACCACCAACCAGTATTACAAAACCAAACATTTATAGCAAGAAGGTACAGCAAATAGTTGCTGTGTATTTGGTGGGATCAGAAGGACGTTGTTTACTATGAACTGTTCCAATCTGGGAATACGGTCACTACTGAGCGTTACCAACAGCAACTGATTCGAGTAAGTGACGCCCTTGAAGTAAGAAGATTGTTTACTGGCGTTGGAAAAAGGAAAGTGATTTTGCTGCAAGACAATGTGTGACCGTATATGGTAAAATCAACGATAGAAATTACATATCTCTCGGTTGGAAAATTTTCCCTCACATAGCGTATTCTCCGGATCTAACACCTACGGATTACAATTTTTCCGGGTCCTCCAGCATCATCTGGTTAATTCTCAATTCAAGTCTCTTGAAGGAATCATAAAAAAAACACCATAGAATTCATCGACTCAAAACAATCTTTTTTTTTTTTTTTTCGAAATGGAACACGATAGTTGCCGGAAAAATAGCAAAAATGTGTGAAAAGTGAATGGGATTACTTTGAATATTAGGTTAATATTCATTAATTAATAGTCATTCTTTTATAATTTTACATTGAAACTTGGTAAAAGAGGCCAAGAATTAAGTTGTAGATCTAATAGCAAAAGATTATACGAGAAGTAGTGAAGGATATTAAAAAAAATAGTATGTTAGCGTTGGCGTTCTTTGTTTCTTACGAACCGACTTGACATGAAAAAACGAAGAATATATCAGACATCCTATTAAATTTCATGAAAGCCTTGCAAGAGAGTGAAGGGCAGCTTGATAAACCAGGACGATGAGTACCGCCGCGATTGACCAGACCTCAAAGGAGCAATCTCGTGAGAATCTAGTTGCTGTATGCGGGTCGATAGGTTTTAAATTTCATGAACACAAAGGAACGGTCATTTGAATATACATATATGTGTATAGGCGCCCGCGATAACGTGTGGCGCTCACGAAAGAAACGTTTCTCATCATCAGTCATCGTATCGCTAAAATCTTGTTACAGTTAGTTTTCTTTATTTTTATCAAAAGAACTCACGTAATTTAGATCTCTTGACTTGTTAGAACGCTTATAAAATAATAGCTTAAAAACTATGAAATATCATGAAATTAAAGTTTATTATAGAATGTCTTGTTAAAACGTGTATGTTAGCTGTTTATTGAAAATTTAGACATGTAGTGATTAAATAATAGAAGCTTTTTCTTCTGGTTGTTATATATTTTACGCTATTAAAAATACATAATAGAACGCAAGCAATATTAACAACAATTTTATTATGAAGTAGAGAAGTATAACTTTTTGTTGATTTTGATTTTGTGTATAAAAAAATCACTTTATGATGATCCTCGATAACTTATAATTTTTAATGCGCATTGTTCATAACTAATTGTAGTGTAATTAATTAACGCTTGTTGAACGTTTTAAGGCAGTGTAATTTCGGATAAGCAGCGTTGTTGTTTGCGATGAGATGAATTTTTAATGACATGACTTGATGGCGTGTAAAAACATGTTGAAAGCAGTTTCGGCAACGGTTCGTACGTCTAATCTATTTGAAAATATGTGAACCTTAAAGAAAAGGTTAATATGTTACGTATTAAAATGAATTAATTAAAATAAATTAATAAATTATATTTGTTAATTTAATTACTTAGTGTTTTTAAGTGACTTATCTATTATAAAAGTAATGTAATCATATTTTAAACAATTCAACGGAATACAAATGCAAAATTTGACCTAATTTATTTTTATATGCTTTCTGAGATTATGCTTAAGCTCCACGTGGCTTCAAAATAAGTAACTTAAATATTACAATTAAGAGTATCTTGAAAAGATTGTATATTTAAGTTAATAAGATTTTCTTTGATCTTACTCTGGTGAAAAAAATTCTTATATCTCTCATAATAATATTTAAAAAATGTCTTATATTATAATATATTTTATGAAAACATATCTTTTAGAAATTTTGTAAGTTTTCTTCAGAAATTATGAAATGAGATATCTTAAAATATTTTTGAATTCATATATAAAGAATTCTAGATAGAAAACATGTAGACTTTTTCATTACTAGAAGTATTGCTAATCGTATAAATAATATGAGGAGTTTTTTTTTATAAAGTAATACAATTATACAGAAATTTTGGAATTTTTTCATTACAATTATATGAAGAATTCTAAGAAAAATTTCTACCAGAGAACCAGAGTCATAAATGTGTTATAATTATTCTTGGAATGAAGATGCGATTTATGTCTTGAAAGACAACGGTATTCTGTCAGTCGCCGAAAATACCTTCGTCAAAATCGATGGCGGAAATTATCTCTGCGACGGACAAGATTTATCTATTATAAAATTCGTCAGAGTAAATTTGATTCGTTATCGGCAAAAGTGATTAATCCTCTCTTTTACTATTATAGAAAAGATCTGCGGTTTTCAACTTCAGCGCCAATAGCGCCGCGACAATAGAAAAGAGAAGGGGGAGGGTTTCGAGTGCAGGCGAATCATAAATTATCTATCTGTGCGACGTTTACTCGCGTACTTACTCGTTCTTATCAGGCGATTTGCGTAATACGTTAATTAGACATTAAGTGCTCGGTAACCAAGTACGAACCTGGAAGAGTAACAGTAATGCCTTTAATGGATGTGGGTTATTTAATTTGCGCGGGGTGGAATGGGGATGATGTTTAGCGGTGCGGCTCAGCGCGGTTTGTACGCGGAAAGGCGCCTTCATTCCGCTTCCGTCTGGAGAGCGCAGTTTCATCCCTTCATCCATCCTCGTCCATCCCCTCGTTGTCTTCGTTCTCCTCTACCTGTATACGCGCTCCATATACACGCAGAGGGAGAGGCGACCCACGAAATCTCCCACTTTCGCTCTATGCGCATCTCCCCGAACACTTGCGTCCCACCGCTCCCCTTTCGCCACCTATGCCCCGTCATCCAGTCCCTTTCGCTAGCTACCACCCGCGCTTTTGCTATTGTCTGACTATTGTGCCGCTGTTACCGCGGTGTGTCGGTTCGTTTGTATAAGGGTGATTCATTTTCTGGGAAATATCAGTTCCTGCGCCGCATGAATTTCGACTCACGCGAGCGCGTAAAACCTCTTTCTCTCTCTCTCTCTCTCTCTCTCTCTCTTCGTTCTGTTGTCGGGCGCAAATTAAGCCTTCCGTGGACCTTTCTCCAGACAAACATATAAATGTATATGTATGTATATATGCACTTCTCGGAGACGTTATTTCGCTTGGGAGCGGTGCTTTATTTCGGCAAGCATATTCCCCCGCAAGAGTAATTCTGCAAATTAAAATTGTGTCTTTTAATACTTTGTTATCATCTCACGAGCTCGTAATTTTCGTGGCTTCCATGAAAGTCGGTCGACCTTTTTCGTGCGGTAATTAGAAATTATACCGGAATCTAACGAATTCTAACGGACAAATCGCGAACGCGATTGTAAAACGGGCATCATTCGACGTGAACGAAATACTACTACACAGGCAAGCTCCCTTATGTTTAACGTGTAAGTGTAAGTATCCATTGTCACGGCGGTCATAAACCGGTGTCCTTCTAAATTGCGGAACCCCTTGTGCTCGCCTTGTCGCAGTCTGCAGGTAGCGGCAAAATGGCCCGCCTCTCCCATCTCCATTTTCTCTATCCTGCCTGCGTCTCGTTTGCACAGGGTCGTTCTTTCGCTGGCGGGGGTTGCATTGTTATGAAATTGGGTCATCCGCTTACTGCAATGAGATACGCGACTCGTCCCGGTGTCGCGCGCTATGAAAATTGG